ATTCCCTAGCTCTTTAATCATTGCTTGAATTCTTTCTGCTATTTTAATTGCTTTTCATAGCTTACATTCTTAGTTGATAACTAAAACCAAAAAACTTTGAATAGAGTGTTTAGGATTTTCTTTTTTTTCGTGATCGAATAATCGTACAATTGAATCCGGCTAACCTTCCTTGCGATACGACCCGGAGAACGAAACTTTCGATTCTACTCCGATAAATATACTCACAACAGTCGGCAAGCGCTGGAAACAATGAAACCCCAGGAAATGCTTCGTTTGGACTTAATAAATCATGTTTAGTCAATGGTTGTACAATTTTCTTTATGTATGGATTTATCTTTTATCATTTTTTTCTTTTTTTAACGAAACAATAGAAAATTATAAAACAGCCAAAGAGATCGAGGATACACTGCCGCAAGGGCAGAGTCATAGGCGCGCTAACAATAGCGACCTAGAAACCAAAACTAAACCATATTAGCAGACTGAAGTAATGGCAAGAACAAGCTCGAATCCGAGATTAGATTTATAATACAACAGTGCAAGATAACAAAAACTACACACAACCAAAAAGGTAACCTACAACTGAACAAGTCCCTAGCAGGTAAACAACTAAAACAAGCCTAAAACTACAAACTACAAAGACAAGCTAACTAACCAAAGACAAGGAAACCATAAGAAGGAATTTAGAAAACCAACAACATGGCACAACACTAAGAAACAGAGCAGGACAAGAACTCTCTCCAAGATGAGGTAGTAGATTGAACAATGTTGAATTCAGAGAGCCAAAAGTTTGGAAGATCCACAAGTTTGGAGCCTTCCAAATCCACCACAGCAGGTTGGTAGTAGTAAGTTGGATTCTGAGGTCAGTACAGGGAGATGTCTTAATGTTGCAGATCTTTATCCACCAACTTTTGCAGCAAGAGGTATCCTTGCACAGACCATCCCATGAGATAGTAGCTAAGTCTAAGACTCTTTTGGCTCTGGTACATTGAAAGAATAAGTGCTCAATGGATTCTGCATCTTCTCCACAAGACTGGCAAACAGAGTATATGATCATCCATTTCTTCAGGAGATTAAGAGAGACTGGCAAGATGGATGAGAAGCACTTCCAAATGAAGTGCTTCACTTTACCAGAAATTTTAAGACTCCAGCTTTTCCTTCTAGTGTTCAAAATTTTAGCCTTCAGATTGCTACTCTCTGTAATGCCAAGGTTAGCCATTTTTCTTCACTAACATCTCATAGACAACATCCACAGAAAATTTGCCGATGGATGTGGTGTCCTATACAACTCGGTCTGAGCGGGAAGAATCCAAGTTCTTAATACTGAGGATTGCCTTACTCTCAGCAGTGGGAAAACAGTTCTGGATCAGTCACATTCCACATCCTTCCTGAGTCATCAATAAGCTCATGTGGGTATACTAGTGAATAAAACTGATTGTCCGTCCATTGCATCGCACGTGTGGGTATACTAACGAATAAAACTGAAGACAACAAAATTGAATTACCATGCCATAATCGATCACATGAAAACATAACTCTACCAATGGTTTAGGTATTGTGTCGTGAAACGAAATGAGAGGCAATAGCCAATAAGAAATGATGGAAGATAATTAATTGTGTTGCTTTTGTTCACGTTTAAATATTAATATGTTATTCATTCTTATAAATTAGAATATTAATTTTTATCTATCTTAATTTATATTAAGTTTATATTATTGCATTTCATTCCTGCAACAAGTTATTCTATTCTTTTTATATTAAGACAATAATAATTTAATTGCCTTAACAAGTTATTCTATTATTTTTATATTAAGACATTAGTAATTTAATTTGCCTTAATTTAGTGATATTTCATAATGCGTGTATATATCAAATTAGGGTATAATTTCATAATAAGTGTATTTATCAAATTAGGGTAATAACATTTCGCAACTTGATACTTATCATGATCATAATC